AACATTTGAAGAAGAAGATAAACGAAACCATGTGGTTGGCTAACGAATTGGGAATTTACCCTTGTTCTTTTCAATAATTACAGTTACATGCCACTGGTCCGAACTTAAACGCTGGTTGCGATTTAGACCGGTTTAATTAGGTTTGGATAGTCACAAAACCAAATTGAGTTAAACTCGAAACAGAGAAGAAAATTAAATGACGATGAGCTTGCAATTGTTTAATTTCTTTAACTAGATGTATGTGTAAGCAAAAGTTAAGTTTACCTTTTGAGTTAATAAATAAATATATACTATGTATAAAAAAAATTCTGTTCAAATTTACTTCATTGATTTCAAATTAAAAATACAAATTTATCATACAAAGTTTTTGAAATGCAAATTATCACATAAGACAAATATATACCATATACTTAGTAGATATATTGTTAACCCCATTATTTTCTATATTATGCATTTTTGTGAGATGGTAATGGTTGGAAAAAAAAAACTGATTATGATACGTCGAACAAAAATGTTTAATTTGGATAACTCGGTTTGATCCAAATCGAACCCAAACACATGAAAACAAAAGTAAGTGGATTTTATAATGATAATGGTTTTCATTATTTTATATCAAGAAAAAGTTGACACGAAATATAAACTAAAAATCAAATGTATAGTTGATTGAATGTTGAATCAACCCAAAAAGCCAAAACAACAATTTATATAACAGCAAATCCAGGCAAAAATCAGATTAAATGCCTCTACTCAATGGTTGGTGAGTTCTTAAAAACAAATTAAATGTATATTTATTTCATTAAGTAACATTAAAATTTTATTTCAAAGAAAAACAAATTTCCATGTCAATCACCAACCTAACTAAACTTGAATAAATCCAAACTAATGTATAATCAATTTCCAGTCATTGGAATATTTAAAAGACTACAATAAATAAGATATGTTCTAATAATAATCTAATCAATTGATTATTTGTGAAAATTAATTTCAGCTTGACCACCCAACTGATACTAATATAGATACAAGAACGTCGGCTCAAAGTTGATTAATTATAAACATGAAATTAATGATGAATTTAGATATAGTCAAAGAACCATTGTTAAAAGCACACGTCCATATCCTTGTGAGCCACGACAACACAATGGACCACCATGCTCGTGCCTAGGATTTGTAGTATATATTGGTTAAAGAAGATTAAGAATAATGAACAAAGGAAAAGTTGCAACCCTTGGCAATAGATCACATATAGTATTTTCTAAGAGAAATTCAAGAAACAAGACAATTTAATCATACAAATACTTGTAAATTTGGTTTCAAAATTTTGTGTCTGAGGATTCGAATATACTTGTAAACTTGGGTTTCAAAAGTTTATGTGCAGGATTCGAATACGTAAGTGTTTTAAGAGCATCATTATTAGTAACTCTTTCAAGAGTGTCATAAGTAATTTTTAAGATTAAATTTAATAAAAATAGTTTTGACACCCTATGAAAAAGTTTTTCCCAAAGAACTTAATGAATCTTTTCTATAGAAAGTTCATTAAATTAAATGATTTTTTAATCATTTTTATCTCTAAGACACTCTTAAGGGTGTTACCAATAATGATCTCTAAGTTTTCAAAAATATGTTTTTATAATGTTTCTTATGTTTTGTGTGAACCAAAATTGAAAATTAGACTAAATGGTAGTGGAGTATTGACAAGATTTTGGACTCTAAATGTAAAAAGGGCAAGATTAGTGTAATTCATAAATGTAAAATTGATTTGAATCACGTTATTAGTTTTGTTTTATATAGTAATTGGGCCATAATTAATCAGCAAAAACAAGTAGCTCTATCGACTTTGTAAAGCCCATTATGGGCCTTCCTTCATCAATAAAAACAAAAAAAAAAGGTTTAAGATAAGATCCTCCGGCCTCAACAATTTCACTTTTTAGGGTTTTACCATCAAGAATCGAGAGAGTGCTTCCATGGCGACGCATACCATTTCTCGCTCTATCCTCTGCCGACCGGCGCAATCTCTTTCCTCTCTGTTCACTCGATCCTTTGCTTCATCTGCGAAAACCCCTGCTTACACGTCCTCTCTGCTGAGCCGATCCCGTCCACTCGTCGCCGCTTTTTCCTCCCTTGTCCGTGGTGGTCTTGTGTCTGCTAAAGGTCTCTCGACTCAGGCTACATCTTCTTCTCTGAACGATCCGAATCCCAACTGGTCCAACAGACCACCCAAGGAGACGATCCTGCTCGATGGTTGCGATTTCGAGCACTGGCTTGTCGTTGTGGAGGCACCTGAGGGTGATCCTACTAGAGACGAAATCATTGACAGCTACATCAAAATCCTAGCCCAGGTTGTTGGCAGGTAATGAGAAAATCCACTCTTGTTGTTCTATTGGGTTACTGGATCTGTGTGTGTGTGTTTACTTAAATCATTTTGAAGCTCTTATATCGTTTTGGTGGTAATTTCAGTGAGGAAGAAGCGAGGATGAAGATCTACTCTGTGTCAACTCGGTGCTACTATGCATTTGGAGCTCTTGTGTCTGAAGATCTTTCTCACAAGCTCAAAGGTATAGTTTTGCCTTCTATTTTCCCAAATTTCATTTCTGTGTTGTGTTGAGTTGCCTTGTAATTTCTTTCTGTAACTTTCCAGAGTTGCCAAAGGTGCGCTGGGTTCTTCCTGATTCTTACCTCGATGTGAAGAACAAAGATTACGGAGGTAAGGCTTATTGTGTTTCATGGGGGAGTTTCATCATACTTACTGGTTTTTGGATTGTCAATAAGTGGAACTAGCTCTTGATAGTCGGATTCATTAGATTGACACATAGGGACTACTTCTATTTTTAGTTGCTGGAAATAAAAATATGGGTTAGGATTGATCTGTGGTATATCGATTTTGAATCTTTCTAGTGATTCTATCAGAGAGTTAGTTAGCTTGATGGTTTTTTTTTTTATATTGGATTCAGGGGAACCTTTCATTGATGGGAAGGCTGTTCCTTATGATCCTAAGTACCATGAGGAGTGGATAAGGAACAATGCTAGAGCAAATGAAAGAAACAGGCGCAATGACCGTCCTCGCAACTTTGACAGAAGTAGAAACTTCGAGAGGAGGAGAGAGAACATGTCAGGAGGTCCTCCTCCCCAACGTTCTCCCATGGGTGGCTCTGCACCACCTCCTCCACCTCACATGGGTGGCTCTGCGCCTCCTCCACCTCACATGGGTGGCTCTGCGCCTCCTCCTCCACCTCACATGGGACAGAACTACGGGGGACCTCCGAACAACATGGGAGGACAAAGGCCTCCACCAAACTATGGAGGAGCACCACCCCAGAACAACATGGGAGGACAGAGGCCACCACCAAACTATGGAGGACCAGCAGCACCACCACCAAACTACGGAGGAGCTCCACCACAAAGCAACATGGGAGGAGGGCCGCCACCAAACTATGGAGCACCACCTCCACCGAACTATGGAGGAGCACCACAGAACAACATGGGCGGAGGTCCACCAAATGCAGGATGGTCAGGTAACAACAACAACAACTACCAGCAGCAGAGTGGTGGGATGCAGCAGCCACAGTACCAGAACAACTATCCACCTAACCGGGATGGCAGCGGAAACCCGTACCAGGGTTAAAGTAGTTGAACGACCAACTCGTGGGTTTTCTTTTTATTCATGCACTAGATGTTTAGTAATAACTCGTGTGTTTTTCGGATTCTACTTCAGATTTTTTTTTTTTTTAAGAATCTAGCAATAATTCTTATTGTTTCTTTAATGGTAAGCGGATCGTGTTGTTTTGGTTATTTTAGACACAAAATGTGGTAAACTATGAAGAGGGATATCAGATATGGTACATTGACGTCCATGCCACTGGTCCGAACTTAAACTTTGGTTGCAATTCAGACCGGTTTAATTCGGTTAGGATAGTTACAATAGCAAATTGAGCCAAATTCGCAGGAAAAAGTTAAATGAAGATGAGGTTGCAATTGCTTAATTTCCTTAACTAGATGTATGTTTAAGCAAAAGTTAAGTTTACCTTTTGAGTTAATAAATACATATAGAGTATGTATAAAAAAATTATGTTTAAATGTACTTCGTTGATTTCAAATTAAAAATACAAATTTATTATACAAAGTTTTTGAAATGCAAATTTTCATATAAGACAAATATATAGACGATAAAACAGTGTTTTCCCTAGTCAAATATTCGTTGATATATTTGTTAAAGCCATTGTGAGATGGTAATTGTTAAAAAAACAACTGATTATATATGATACGTCGAACAAAACTGTTTAATTTGGATGACTTGGTTTGATCCAAATCGAACCCAAACACATGACAACAAAAGCAAGTGGATTTTTTAAGGGTATTTGCAACAATAACCAAAAAAAAATTATATTAGCAATCTAATAAGAATTGTGGAGAAATGGGAGTCATTAGATTAAAATCATTTGGTTAGTTAGTGAAATAATTTTTTTTTTAGGTTATTTTAGCCAATTTCCATTTTAATTTTATAATGATAATGGTTTTCATTATTTTATATAAAAAAAATTGACACGAAATATCAACTAAACATCAAATGTATATTTGATTGAATGTTGAATCAACCCAAAAGGCCAAAACAACAATTTATATAACACCAAATCCTTGCAAAAATCAGATTAAATGCCCCTACTCAATGGTTGGTGAGTTCTTAAAAAACAAATTAAATGTATGTTTAATTTCATTACATAACATTGAAATTTTATTTTATTTTAAGAAAAAAACAGATTTTCATGTCTATCACCACCTAACTAAACTTTTTTTTTTATGACTCAAGGTAAATTTTAGGCCAAAGGATCCAGACTAATCCGTGCGCGAGGTGCAGTCCATGGATAGACCTTCTTTCCGGGTATTCAAATAGACCGAAAGCAAGGGCCATATCCATGTGAGTGTCCAAAATAATGTGTTTTATTTTCGCGTAGCAGGTGGATCGAACTTGTAACGTGTTGGCGTCACAAACCCGTCTCCTTACCACTTGACCACAAGACTCCGGACCACCTAACTAAACTTGAATAAATCCAAACTAATGTATAGTCAATTTCTAGTCATTGGAATTTTAAAAAGACTACAATAAATAAGATATGTTATAACAATAATCTAATCAATTGATTATTTGTGGAAATTAATTTCAGCTTGACCATCCAACCGATAATATATAGTAGAAGAACCGATAATATATAGTCTAGAACTTGTAACATTTTGTATACGTGTTTCTCTCACAAATTTTGGACTTTTTTTTGTTTCTTTTTCTACACTAAATTTTAAATAACCAATAATAAAAAAACCTATGAAACAAGTAGAATTTATTTTTTCCGTTTCTTCTCCCCTTTTATCGCTCCATTCTCCCACAATCTCAACTTCCTCTTCCACTTATCTTTTAAAATCGATTTTTGCTCTTTTTCCAATTAAAGTAAACGAAAGATTCTATAGTATTCAAACACTACACTTCTTTTAGGTTAATAAACTGTACATAGTGATTTTGGGATTTAATGGCTACAAAATAATTAGTTTGTGATTGATAGTTGTACATGTACCCTAGCAGTTTTGATCGCATAGTCAGTTTGATCTCTTGCGCTATTGGTGGACTAGAGAAAAAGAAGAAGATTACATGAAGTAAGTAAAATCTCTTTTAAGTCTATCTTGATTTTTTTTTTTAAACATATTCTACTAATAAATCTACTTTTCTGGTTGTAAAAAAAAAAGATTTACGTTTGTATATACACAAGTCTACATCATCATCTATATAACCTTCTCACTAAGAAATTTAATAAATATTCATGGTTTTTGAATCAATTTTCTTTTCACAGTCTGGAAATCGTTTTGGAAGAAAAAGACGAAAACATGAATTGGATGAAACAACAAAGAATAAAAAACAATGGTGAAGAGAAAGTAACAAACAAATAGTACCTTACTCATATTAGGTTAGTCATAATCTTTGATTTTTCGATTAAATATGTTTTTTTTTAAGGTTTGATTGTTTTCAAACAAAATGAAAATTTTAAATTTAAACCAATTTAACAATATGTCGTGCATTGGCACGGGCATTAATACTAGTTATAAACATAAAATTAATGATGAATTTAGATATAGTCAAAGAGCCATTGATAAACGCACACGTCCATATATCCTTGTGAGCCGCGACAACACAATGGACCATCATGCTCGTGCCTAGGATTTGTAGGGAAATATATTTATAGGTTAAAGAAGATTAAAAATAATGAACAAAGGAAAAGTTGTAACCTACCAATAGATCACATATACTGTTCTCACAATTTAACCATTTAATCACACAAATTGTTTTACTTGGGTTTGGGCAAAAATTGGGCTTCAAAATTTTATGTATGATGATTCGATTATACTTGTAAACTTGGGTTTCAAAATTTTATGCATGGTGAGGATTCGAAAATATAATTGTTTTAGGTTTCCGAAAATGTTTTTATAATTTTTCTTTATGTTTTGTGTGATCCATGATCCAGAATTGGAAAAAAATGAAAATTAGACTAAATGGTATTGGACTAGTGACATCTTTTCGGACTCTACAAATTAATACCATACGTCTTTATACGAACACAA